ACCTCGCTTAACGAGCATCTCGCATACGACGATGAGAAGTCCCGGATTGCGCGCCTGCTACATCATTTTTAAAACATGTATTTCACGCGTAAAAATCCGGAAATTTTGGAACGGATTAAACTCGTTAAGCGAAGTTCCACTGTACTAGATTTATAAATTTTAACAATTAAATATATTTCGAATACAGGTGCTATGCAACGACCCATCTCCAGGGATAAGAGGAAGATTAGGAAGGCCGAGGAGGAAGATCTAACTACGGATGAGAAGCGCGCTCGTGCCTTGAGCGTGCCAATCTCCGTTGACGAGATCATCAATTTGCCATTATATGAATTCAACGAGCGTCTTTCCAGGTGCCACCTGAGTGAGGCACAGCTTAGCCTGATCAGAGACATTCGCCGTCGAGGCAAGAATAAAGTAAATAAATATAAATCTATCTCCGAAATAGACTTTCCTAAACCAATATTTATGGTTATAGGTAGCAGCACATAACTGCAGAAAGCGCAAATTGGATCAGATTTTGAACTTGACTGATGAGGTGAAAGACATGCACGACAGGAAGTTTCGACTCCTCAACGAGCACGAGTTTCTCTCAGGCGAATGCCAACGCGTAAAAGACAAGTACCTGCAGCTTTACCGTCACGTATTTCAGGTAGGTCTAATCTTTTCCACTGGCTCGAATACGCTGACCACTTGTTTTCGTGCCTTTTTAGAATCTACGAGATCCTGAAGGTAACCAGTATTCGCCCCATCAATACAGCCTGCAAACATTCGCGGATGGTTCGATCCTGGTCGTGCCTCGCGCTATCTCGAGCATCACGAATCCAGAGAGAAAGAAACTACACCCGCCTGGTCGCAAGGAGTGACTATTTGGATTCGTTTCTTATGTGATCTAATATAATATCGATGAATAACTATAGGCTATTATATTTTATAATTAAAGCAGTTTTTGTATATTGTAAGTAAATGTATAATAAAAATAAAGCCTACACGAGTCATGGTGCTATAACTTAGTATTACTATCTTTATTGCTAATATTGTTGCGTAACTAGGTGTTAACTATCGAATTGTGTTAGGGTTGATGCAAAATTAGTCCAATCTTTCATCATATCTTTGCATATATTTATAATTTAATCTTCGAACAATGCTAATATATTTAATATATGTGCTAAAATTAAAATATTTAAACCATGCAGAGCCTTTTTTTAATATCGCCTACAAAATTTTTCATCTACATTGTTTTATATCAGCATTCACACAAAAGTATAATATATAAAAACATACTTAAAAAACGTATGATATCTTCGAAGAAATTTATGCAGAATGTGAGTATATTCGTTAATTTTTATATTCTATTAATTGTGAAAAATTCAGTAGCTGTAAATCAATTACGTAATATATGATATAATAGATTTTTCAATTTTAACAATTAAAAATATATGAATTCACAGTAATATGTGAGTACTCGCTACATTCCCCAAACATCCAGCTTTCATATGCATCTTTTGGATCCATTTAATATATTATAGTTTACGAGAAAAACACTAAAATGTGAAAACACTGCTTTTTGTAGAGCGTTAATTACGCTCATCACACTCTTTGCATCATAGCACCACACGGCCCTGATTTAAGCTAAGATAAAATGAAATTTATTGTTACAATTCGTTCAAATATTAGAGTTATAATTTGAGTTAGTTATTGTTAATAATTGAGTATGAAACGTTTGTGCACATCACTAGAGGACACTGCGCGAGGCATCTGGTTCGGTATCAGAGATTATGCCTACCTAGAGGATTAGATCCGCATGCGTGGAAACAGTTATTTAAAATAAAATCGATACTTTCGGCACAGTTTGTGAACCCTTGCGAGCATTCTCCACTATGCAATTATAGGGGTGACACCCTCCGGGTTTTTCCTATACAGGAGGGTCCGTTTAGACTTTATAATAGAAGATCGATAGCGCTCTCATCCATGGCTAGTTTCAAACAGAATTTTGTTTTAATGTTCGGTTTTGGTGGCGGCAGGGCGCACCGTGTTTGACGTCGCCGTGCAACATGAGAACTGTCCAGTGCATTTAGAGAAAATAAACAGAAACAACCACAAAGAACAAAGCCAAACGCATCAATCATTCAACAGGTAGAATATCAAAGATTCGAGAGCGTCGCATGTTATTTGCAGTTCCGTTGTTTTCTTCCTTCTTGTTTGAAAGTAGACTAGACTAGGATGTAGTCGAACTAAATGTAGCATTATGAGAGAGTACATTATCATCATCAACGCAAAGAAAGTATAAACAATATATAAATAACAAAAAAAAAACAAGCAATGCCGCAAGGGAATTCGCCGACGGCGGAATCAACGGATGCGATCCGGATGGAGCCTATGGGTCGTTACAAGCAGGTCCAAAACGGCAACGTTCATCCTGAAGGTATGATCCATTTAATTACATCTATCGTCCCATTTCACGCCTCGCTATGTTTCCCTCCGCTGATTACCACGTGGGAAATCACGCAAATTGAGGTAGCTTCGCGTATCGAGCCCTTTTTTTTCCCGCCCTCCGGGGACGCGCGCATATCGACAATCGGCGTCGAGTTTCCATTTCCGACGCCGACGCCAATGGATAGTAGTTCCATTAGTTCGTGACGCGTTTAATACCATTTTTGGTAAGGCCTCGTCTATAATATTAAGCCTAAATTAGTCTAAATTAAGAATTATTATTGACAGAAGAAACTGTTCATATCGACCTGAAACAATAGTAACATCGAACTCTTATACAACCTGGTCGGAAGATGTAGTTACATGATTTCGTTGCGGCAAATCAGTTGAACGGTTTTGGTGTAATACATTCCATCCCCTGGTCAACCAGTCAATAATCCCCGGCAACAGAGAATCAAAAATAAAACAAGAATCAAACATTTCAAAGCACGCGAGAGGCAAATATCATAAATACTGGAGGGCAGGAGTCGCGACCATTTAGTCAAATCATCCGTCGTAGCAGGAGATCGGAACATCGAGGCCGTTGTCTGGAGACGTGGAAAATCAGTGATGAGTGAACAAGATGTTGACGATGTTGCGTTTCTTACAGGTACAAACAATCAACTCAGTCAATCAATGACCATTTACCGATCACCCTCACTCATGCTTAATCTCCCCTGTGACTCAGGCGGTGTTGCAGGAACAGAGAGTCCTGCAGGTCCTACAAAGAAAAGCCTATACGAAAATAATGGAGTGGCGGCTTGCTCCCAAAAACGAGCCTTGTTCATTGCAAGCGCCGTTTTTGCAATATTATTCTTGGTTTCTATCATCATTGCTTACACTGGCCCGCAAAGTGGTAAGGCTTAGGCTTGAAATCTCACCTGAGATACAACATCTAATACATTTTCATATGATTCCAGAATGCACATGTGCCGGTGAAAAGCCACCTAATTATGTGGACGAAGATTGGAACGTGACGAAAGTATTCGTCCCGCGTGCTACAAACGGTCAAGTTTTTCCATGGAACAACATCCGTCTTCCAACATTCGCGAAACCATCTCGCTACAACATTACCATTCATCCGAATCTAACGACGCTTGATGTAAAAGGTACTGTACCAAAGTCGAAACATGCAAACACGCACCTCTATAAGCTTCACAAGCACACGAAACAAATTAAATGTCTCATATGTCCTCAGGTCAAGTTTCCATAGAATTTCATGTAGAAAAAGACACACACTTTATTGTACTGCACAGTAAAAATCTAACCATCACAGATAAAGTAAGTAAAGTTTATCGAGATCACGGGTAAATAATAGCTCTTACATTGGACTTTCGTAATTCTTTTAGATGATACAGGATCGTAAAGGTCACAACTTGAGGATTACAAAACTCTTGGAATATCCCGCCGCTCAACAATTATACATTGAAATTAAAGATAAGTTTAGGAAACGCAACAATTATACTCTGAATCTAAGATTCACATCAAAATTGGGACACGAATACGAAGGATTTTATATATCCAGTTATACCAATGAAGATGGTGATAAAAGGTACATAATAATCCTGATAAATATTATATTTAATTTAAATAAAAAATATGTTATTTGCAGATATTTGGCTACAACACACTTTGAACCAACATACGCAAGGGCGGCGTTCCCTTGCTTTGACGAACCCCAGTTCAAAGCCAAATTTAAAATATCAATTTTTAGAGATAGGTTCCACATAGCCTTATTTAATATGCCGGTGGTTACTACGGAAGATGTTGGCTTTTACATGGGTACTGGTTTGGTAAGTATCCTATAGCCAATCCCTGCATCCAGAACTTCAAGGTCTTGATTTTTAGTTGCGCGATGATTTTCAAGAGTCTGTTGAGATGAGTACCTACTTGGTGGCGTTTGTTATATGTGATTACAAACACCTCAATAAGCAAACAGAACGAGGCGTTTCCGTTTCCGTCTACACACCATCCCCTTATATTTCCCAGGCATCGTTCGCCTTGAGCACCGCCACTCACATCATGAACTTCTTCGAGGACTTCTTCATGGTCCCATATCCACTGCCTAAACAAGGTATGCTTAAATCTCAACCGCATTCAGGTCAGTAGGTGTTATCAATTTCCGTTTCAGATCTCGTCGTTATTCCCGACTTTGCAACTGGCGCTATGGAAAATTGGGGTTTGATCACTTACCGCGAGACTGCCATTCTTTATGATCCACTTGAAACTTCCACTGCCGCCCATCAATGGGTTGCAATTGTAATCGCGCACGAATTAGCTCATCAGGTAAATTATCGTTTGCAAGATGTACGAAACTATGTTAAACGAATTTACTTTTGCAGTGGTTTGGTAATTTAGTTACGATGAAATGGTGGAACGATTTGTGGCTGAACGAAGGCTTTGCCAGTTTTTTGGAATATTTGGGTGTTGATAGTCTATTTCCCGAATGGAGAATGATGGAACAGTTCATTTTAGATAAAACGCAACCAGCATTAGCACTGGATGCATTAGTTAGTAGTCACCCTATATCAGTTTCAGTTTATGATCCATCAGAAATTGAAGCTATTTTTGATACTATTTCTTATAGCAAGGTAAATATTGAGACGCAGCAAAAATGTGTTTTAATTAATTAATTAATGTTTTAAGGGTGCTTCTATACTTCACATGCTTGGTAAATTTCTTCAACAAGAAACTCTACAAAACGGTCTAAATGATTATTTAAATACTTATAAGTATAGTAACGCCGACACCAAAGAACTTTGGAATGTGTTCAGTAGAAATACCAATCAATCTCTAGAAGTTAAGGTAATTGAAAAATACATTTTAAATGAAATATTCGATCGAATCAAATTACTATTTTTAGACTATCATGGATACTTGGACTAATCAAATGGGTTTTCCATTAATCACAATTACAAGGGAGGAAAATGAAGTATATGCTTCACAGGAGAGATTTTTGTTGACTACAGAGGGAATGAATAGCTCAATCCGTTCATCTCCAAAATCAAAGTACGATTACAAATGGTACGTTCCTCTGACCTATATCACAGACAATGATACCGATACAATAAATTATGTTTGGATGAACATGACCAATGGTTAGTACTAATAATTTGTATTTATATAAACGATTTCTATATACATTTATTTCTTAGTGCGTTTCGAAATTGATCCTGACGTGAAGTGGATCAAAGTCAACGTGAACCAATCAGGGTTTTACAGAGTCATGTATGATGATAATATGTGGGCATCTATTATTGACACTCTCAGGTCTAATCATACAATATTCAATGCTGCAGATAGGGCTAGTCTTATCGACGATGCCTTCACTTTGTGCAGGTAGTTAAATAATAGCAATGAACGAAATATAACATAATAAATGTTTTCATTAATATCAAATATTTCAGGGCTGGATTATTAAATGCAAGCATTCCTTTGGAAATGTCCCTTTATTTGATTGATGAAAGGGACTATGTTCCTTGGGCCACCGCTATTGAACACTTTGAATCCTGGAGTCGTCGTCTTTCCGAGTCATTGGCCTACAAACTATTCCTCCAGTACATGCGCAAACTCCTTGAACCGATCACGAAATTCGTCGGATGGAATGATGATGGAACGCATTTACAACGGTAATGATTTCGTACTTTATGTAAAAAAATGTGTTAATTTTTGTCTTCAGATTGATGCGAACTGATATATTATCTACGGCCGTGCATTGCGAGTTGAATGAGACGGTTTCCAAAGCGAAATCATCTTTTATGAAGTGGATGAAGAATAATGAAACGATTGCGCCGGATTTGAAGGAAGTCGTATACGCGGCTGGTATAAAATACGGCGGTTTAGCAGAATGGCAGCATTGTTGGAACATTTACAACACGACCAAAGTACCAAGTGAGAAGAAGCTGTTACTCAAGGCACTTGGGGTCGCTTCCGATCCATGGCTTTTACAAAGGTAATAATATATGCTCGGCATGCATGAATTTAAACTCTAGTAATTAGTTGAAAGTTTAAGATTGATTCGAGCTTGATCTAATTGTAGGTACTTATTGGAAACTCTGGATAGAGATATGGTGAAACCTCAGGACGTTAAAATTGTATTAGCAGTCGTCGCTGCTAATCCCGAAGGACGTCTTCATGCTTGGAGACACTTGAAGGCTTATTGGCCCACAATGCAATCGCTTTTCGGAAACGCCACTTTCATGATGGGAAGTTTAATCTCAGCAGTAACTGCACATCTTTCCACTCCTTACGATTTATATGACGTATGTTAATTTAGCCGTGAAATGAATATATTGATTTTTTGAGTTTATATCACGCAGGTCTCGACGTATTTCAACGGTATGCACGTGGGATCCGCGTCTAGGGCTCTAGAGCAAAGTCTGGAAACCATCAAATTGAACATCAATTGGGTCTCCCAGAACGAAGCCGATATTTACACGTGGCTGAGAAGATTCCTCAACAAATAGTCCGAACCTAATGATTTCATCAACCCTAGGCTTCCGGACGAAGGCAAGGATCCAAACAACACCAACATCACCCAGAAACCACAGCCTACTTTCGTCATTCCATGTTTTTTGTTCCATTTGTTTTGTGATACTTAAGATATATCTCGTTTACCTCCCAGGACGAAGCTGATATTTACACGTAGATGAGAAGATTCCTTAACAAGTAATACGTACCTTATGATTCCAGTAAACTTAGGCTTCCAGGGGAGGATAATTTTGTAACATTACACTCACCCTGAAACCACTTCCTACTTTTGTCTTTCCATATTTTCGTTCCATTTATTTTGTGATACTTAACATATGTTTGTGATCTCTTTTATATACTATGATATTATATACTTAGGGGCTAAGTAACCATGCTAATTCCTTATTTCGTGTGGATAATCCGGGACGAGGCTTCTCAGAGCACTAACCAGAGGGCCACGTTGGAATTTATTTTTATATAAATATAGTACAGGAGTATATGTATATGTATATTGTGAGAATATCATTGTGCTATACATATGAGTACGTTAAATCTTTAGGTATAGACACGTATTCCATAAAAAAAAAAGTATCTTTACAAACTTTTGTGTGTAAGGGAATTTTTATACTAATCGCCGTATTTTTATGATGAAACTCTCGGCCCAATCATATTGTGTACGATTGGCGGAAATAAAAATTTGTCTGATATTTCCTGCCCGTTCTCTTAACATTTAGATTATAGTGAATTGGGTCCAAAAAAAAATTCAAAGAAAAACAAAACACATACTTGTCCAGACATTTTACAAACAATTTTCAAACCCAACCCATGCTGTTAGCGTAAATAAAGATAAATAATTAATAAAATACATGTAACATTAATTAACAAGTTTTTAAATTTGAATTTGACCATTGTTTACATAAATCACTTTCAAAGTCAAGTACTAAGTTGAATATATGGAAAATAGATGGCGCTTTCTTGTCATTTTTTTTTTAATAATTATATCTAGAGGTCAAACTAAGCATACAACAAATATAGGTAGAAGTTTAAATACAATAATAAAATTATTTACTAATTTAATTCACAATTTAATGTTTTTAACAAAGTGAAGTTAGCAAGATCCAACATTGGTATTCGGAGTATGTTCACTTTGGTTATCGTGCATTTATGACACCCTCTGTTTGGTTACACACGTTGGGTGCATTGGTTCGGTTTGTTTAAAATGAGGTAATTTAATATGAAGTAAACAATATTTGAAAGTTATTAAACTTTCCAATATACTGCGTTTTTTTAGAAAAACCTAAAGGTAAAAAATGCATATAGATATATTTAACACAAGCCCTTTGTTTTCAGTTCCCTGAAGTTACAAAAAAGGCTTGCTGCCTCTGTTATGAGATGCGGCAAAAAGAAGGTTTGGCTGGATCCTAATGAAGTTACTGAGATCTCTAACACTAATTCAAGTAAGTTCCATTTCTCCTATTGATTAATTATATTGCATATATATTGAAATGTTTGCCTCGGAAGTATATTACATAAATTATGAAGAAGCACATGATAAGGTAATCATTCTTTGTTTATTTATTTATTATCAATTACATTTTGAAATAAATGATGTAAAAAAATATGTTTTTATTGACGCTTATATATTATTATTATATTCTGAATGTATGCATTTCTATAAAGGTATAAACATATAAACCACAGACTCCGGGTTTAACTTTATGCAAGATTCCTAGATATAATAGCAGCTAATATCTGATCATTACTTTGCATACTTTGCTTCAAATAATAAAGTGCTTAATTGATTTTTAATTGTTTTCAAGTTATTGATTTTTATCTTGTATACATTTGTTGCAACCATTTACATGACATTGCATAATAAAATAAATCTTACATTTTTGTATATTACTGTTTTCCTAATAAAAATGTATATTGTTTTTAGGGCAAAATATAAGAAAGCTTATTAAGGATGGTCTTATTATAAAGAAGCCAGTAGCCGTGCACTCCCGCGCCAGGGCTCGTCTCAATAACCTGGCAAGACGTAAGGGAAGGCATTGTGGTTATGGTAAGAGGAAGGGTACAGCAAATGCACGTATGCCTCAAAAGGAGTTATGGGTACAACGTATGAGAGTTTTGAGACGCCTGCTGAAAAGGTATCGCGTTGCCAAAAAGATTGACCGTCATATGTACCATGCTTTGTACATGAAGGCTAAGGGTAACGTCTTCAAGAACAAGAGAGTCTTAATGGAATACATCCACAAGAAGAAAGCGGAGAAGGCTCGCACCAAGATGCTGAAGGACCAGGCCGATGCCAGAAGGCTAAAGGTCAAGGAAGCTAAAGAGCGTCGATTGGACAGAATCGCTGCTAAGAGGAAAGAGATCTTGCTTAACTATCAGCGCGAAGATGAGGCGAACGCCCAGAAATAAGAAGCATCTAATTAATAAGTTATAACGTGCAGATGATAATTAATACAAATATTTACGGAGTATAGTAGTGTTTTATTAAAATTATCCTCTTCCCACATATCAAAGATTCCTGTTAATATAACGAAGTGATGGTAAGTGTAACTCTTTCAAAATTGTATCACTCATGAAACAAATAATAAAGCCATGAGAAATACACTATGATACACATGCTTTGGATAAACACCTTCTCAAGGTCACGACTAAAATAAGCATTGAGAAAATGAGTAATGAAATGCCTGTGAATTATGTAACTTGGCAAGGCAATTTCATAAGGAATTTATTTTGTGTGCATATTATGATGCATAATTGGATTTTAAAATATTTCTATGTTTAGTTATAAAATTAATTAACATGATGTTGTATAGTTTATGTGGGCTTACACATTCGTTGATGGTCATGTAATGGTTTTGAGTCAGCGGCGATAGTGGATGCTTTACAGCATGTTCTGTCATTACTTCTGTATTACTATTATGTTCCGCAACATTAAATCTCTATAAAAGGAGAAAAAAGAAAACATTATCTTCGAGCCGTGGTCGTCTTTACTACACTTTCTATACTACGGAACATAACATGCTTTATTCGATTTCTTGCTTAGTAGCGGCTACACGTTTATCTTCTCTTTGAAGACATAATATAAAGTCAACCTCAGAAGTGTACAATAGTTAAGAGCATAGATTTCTTTTCGAACCATAATATTTATCTGTAATACTTACCTAATGCATTTCATAATTATTTCCAATTGTAAACTTGAACTAAGAGGTTTATAATTAAATAATCATGAAACTTAACTGATATTAATACAGAAGTATAGCGTATAGACGAGTATAACGAGTAAAGATGATAAGAGAAGTCCCGGATTGCGCGTCTTCTACATCATCTTTAAAACAATGTGTATTTTTGAATATGTTTCACTATAAGAGTAAAAATTTCGTTAAGCGAGGTTCCATTGTATATATATTGACGACTTACCAAAAATGAGAAGATCTATGATAGTTATGCCATTATCCATCGCATAGTAATCATGGATCTCTTAACCTTAACAATATAAGATGATGCATGAAAACCATGCTTTGGATAATGATAGGTAAAATTTGTAGACAAAGCTGAAAGAAATATTTAATAAAAATTAAAAATAATATTTAACAGAAAGTTTTGAAGTTGTATAAAACAAGTCAAATCTGTCAAGATCTATGGTATCGTAGAGAAGGCATATGATAAATATATCATAATTACGATCGGAAGGAAGTTTGCTAAGCGTAGCGATTTCCCGTGGCGGTCTTTTTAAATTATGCATTTCCGTCAATCTCAGGACGAACGGATTTTCAGTAATAGTTGAAAAGTTTTACATGGATTTTTGTTCTTTCACTCTTCAAAGTTTTGAGCGCCCTTAATTCAATTACGTTGCATTATGGATAATGAAGAGTGAATTATAAAAAAAAACGACAAGCGCAACACGAAGTGTGAGGAAGACACGAAAAATAGAGTAGAGGAATATTGAAAGAAAATACAAGTGTCGAGAAGGGTGGAGGCAAAAGTTTTATTAAAGTAAATTATATATTTCTTTACAGAGATAGAGTAGGGTTTAACATCTATTGTAATCTGAATGATCTAGAGATATCTATGCATTCGACAACGAAGAAAACGAAAGTACTCTTATATCAGTGCTTACATAGATTAGATGCACATTACACGCACGCAGGTGGATGCAACAACAGTTTACACTTTATTTTCAACCCCCTACGCGTGCGTTCACAATGATCTCCTTAATTATCTTTATCTTATGTTGTTTCTTGTTTATATCTTATCATTTGTTTCTTTTACATATAATATTACTAGTGTTATTGTTATACATAGACATAGATGCGGTTAATATATATATTATTTATTTTCTTGTATATCTTGTTATATATCATTACTTATTATTTTTTTTTTCGTTAAATATATTTATATATATACACAGCAAAGGAGTGGGTCCACAAATAAAAGGTGCAAATATAAACGCAATATCCCAGACCGATCACTAGCAGTACAAATTCTACCGGATTAAAAAAATATCTACAAATTTCGTTCTTGTTCCATTTCAAAAACATTACGAAGCTCTTCAAGTCGACGACTCGCTCATTTAGAGCAATCATCGCTTTTCTGTTTTTCAGTAATTGTTATTTTTCGTTTGTTTGCTGCTAAATGAATGGTGGATGTTGCAATTCCATTATATTTACACATTTCATCTAAAATACATGTATCATTATGAATATTATGTTATCAATATTATTATAAGTATATATTTTTTTATGTATATATATATTTATGTTAAATAGAGAGAAAGAGAGACAGGATGCTTTCTTTTTTTTTGTTCTTGTTTCTTAGATACACATATAAACATTTTTTTTTAGTTAATTATATATTCTTTTTATCTCTGTCGTTATGACAGGGTGGTTACTTTTCTGAGCCTAAGTACACGTGAAGATGATTTCGCTAGCGAAGTTTGCAGCGGATAGAGGTGAAGAGCTCTCTGAGCAGGTGACGTTCGAGTGTGGATTACAGACAGGGATTATGCTCGTTGACAGGTGAGGGCGTAAGGATGAAGGATTCCGTTAACTTTTCTCTAGGATTTTGGTTTTTGTTGAGTGGAGGTGTTTTTTTGGTCAGCGTGGTGTACATGTAACTCTCGACTGTTATGTACATTGAAGGAGCTGGGAATTTCGACGAGATCAGATTCCTGGATACTAGGAGGAAAGGGGCTTCAAGGGACAGGTTTGGGAGGATTGTTTTTTTTGTGTTTGGTGTAGGTGGTGGTGGTGGAATGGTGTGTCACTGGTGGTGGGTTTTCTAGTATTGGGGGCAGAGAATTCACCTCTCAAGGATGTAGCACTGGACGATGAACAGCAGGACTAGGTCGATGGTCCAGCAGATAGCGCTGCTGTTGTTACCGTGCTGCATGGCTGCAGGTTGCTCTCCATTCAGCACGTGGACCATGACACTGGCAGCATCACTGCTGGATGGGGAACAGGTGTAATTTCCGGTATCGGTGGATAGAGCGCGGGAGATCAGGAGTCGGCTAGTACGGGTTTGCTTCTCGGTGACGACGTTGATGCCTCCTCTTTGGGAGTAGTTAATCACGTTCTCGCCGCGGTACCAGTAGATGAAGTTCGGAGGATCCGGAGTTTGAAGGACGATGCATGTCAGATTGATGTCGCTTCCGCTCTTAATGAAAAGCTCCGGATTTCCAAGTATCTTAGCCTTCGACACTGCAACAAAAAATGCAACAGAAATTTAACAAACCATACATAAATTATTCACTTATACAGTTTAAAATAATTTATCACTTATATTATAAATAATTGCTGAACTTGTCGGAAGTCCTGAAAACTAATATGAACAAATAGTAGCAATTTATTAGCGCCTTTGCTAAGCATTCGACGGAGATGAGAAGATATTACTGAAGTTTTGAATTATTTACAAAATGCTTGGGGTTCTCATTCTCGTAAGGATCATATTATAAAGAGAAGTTCAAGGTTCATGTATAGTTAACCACAAATATAATAAGAAACCGGAAAATAATATTTAAAAGGCCTGGTGATATCCGTTGTAGCTGTTGTTTATAGCCTGCGCTATATTGATTATGATAGTAATAATAACAATAAAAAAGAAGTAGCGGACAATAGCGAAACCTTTACGATATTGCAGCCACTAGGCACACCAATTTTACGACTTTGGCCCGCTCCCAATAGGCAAGTGTTCGAATATAGAACCAGTGCAAGAATGAGAAAAACCAGAGAAACAAAAAAAAAAGAACTAAAGAAAGATGTAAGAGTACGAGCAAAAGAGAGAAAACCAACATTGCGAATTAATTGATTAAAGCTTTCACGTAATTACTTTTCGTGCTAATTGAAATACTCGAAATTCAAAAATTGAACGATTTTATTGCTCCGAGAAGAGAGAGCTGTTTTCATTTGGTGTCACTTAATAATATTAACTTTTATGCGGGGGTCACCCATGAAAGGGCCGCGGTCCTAATTGATATTACGTGTTTCTCTTGGCTTTACGAATAAAATTTAAACAAAAATAAAACGAACGGACAAAGAAGGCGAAAGAAGAGTGGGAATGAATGAAAGGAGGAAAGAAAGTAGCTGTAGCAGAACTTTAAAGCTCCACCTAAACTCTTGCTTCCTTTAAATTTATTACTAAACAGAAAAGCGCAGGAGCCGGAAAACTCTCTCAGACGCAATTAGATTTTTTTTATATAAAACCCCGTTTCCGGTTTATTTCTGACTATTTACCGAATCGATGCCGTTACATAAGTATTTCAACTTGCATTTTGTATTGATGAAACCTCTGGTGATCTTTACATTTTTCTTATTCATGTTTCTAAAATGAAATTTATTTAACTAAACTAATATTTTCTGTTTCAGAATTCAATTGAATAGTAATGTTTATTAAAGGAAAGTTCTGTATGGAATGAAATTAAGTTTTAGGAAAGTTTCGGGAAATTCTTTAATCGGTCAAATGATCCATTCAACATTCTATAGATCAGTGGTTTCCAAACTTGAAGTTACTACGCCACCCTCAAAAGTATGTAATCATTTGGCGCCTCCCCACCCGCTCCTCGAAAACTATAATAATAGAATGAATCCAAATATGCATATGAAAGCTGAATGTTTGGGGAATCCAGCAAGTATAGATACATTCCTGTGCTCTTATCCATATTGCTGTAATACGCGTTCCTTTTATGAAATGGAGGGGT